TTTTTTTTTTTTTTACAAAGCAGAGCTTTTTTTGTCAAGCCCGTTTTTCCAGAATGGAAACCGTGCAAGGATTGAGGCGGCCCCGAATAGTGTTTGAACATTGACTTGAAGTCACGCCCAGTTTATAAAGACTTTATTACTACAGTAACGGCTGGTGAAAATAATCTTGAAAAGGAGAAGATCTGATTGGAACACCGGTATGTTTTTTATATGTACGACATTGATTGATTTTGACTTTTTGATTTGTTTTTTTTTCTCTCAAAAAAAACTTATGCAAGAAATTAGTCCACGAATTCAGGCACAGCTGGTTGGTTTTTTTTTTCAAACGCGCATATACGGTATGAGAGATAGCGTTGGTGTTGTAGTAGGTGTAGGTGTTGTACCTATACGACGAAATCTACATCAGTGTAAACAAAGTCTCTCACTGAATATACCTTTGATTATTGTTCCCCGTATAGGATTCAAAATGAACCCTTACCAATGCTCCATTTCCAGAACATATAGGAGGCTCCCGTTCCCAATTCTTGTTCACAAACCTTTTCCCTAGTGAATTCCGCTCATATATTTTACTCTGGGCATTGTTAGAAGATGATAAGTGTTATTTTCTCTGATCTGTCATAAGCAAAATCACTGGCTTCGGCAGAGTAATCGGATTGGCTTGTTCGAGAGTAGGATGTGATTTTGTAGGTGAAGCTGCGTGTTTATTCAGGAAGACTCAAAACAAGGGGCGGGTGCTCGGCTTAATTATTTCCTTGAGGATGTCCTCACTTTGTATTTCCTGACACGCTGATACAGTGATGTTTGATGACAGCTGTTGAGCAGATCATCTAGATTTGTTTTGTTTAGTGTGAAATTAACGTCAAATAATACAATAATGAAGGTCAAGAGGTTGATCCAGCTCATTTAATCCAGCAGCTCCTCATGCCGCTAAGCTACCTCGACCATAAACCACGCGGACTGCAATAAAGGTGCTAATGCAGGCTGCGTCTAAATGTAGTAAAGGATCTCGAACTTGAAACGTTGTCCATTTATCGTTTCCCCTTGCTTGATGAAAGGCTCTTCAAGAATGCTTACAGATATTCACTGTAAAAGTCGGAATGGCCCTTTTTCAAAACATCTCAATTCATCGGTTTAATATATCAATATTAGTAGTCGAAGTAATAGAGCGGGGTTGAATCATCGCGCCTGCAAGGCACATATTAGCGTTGCAGAGACTATTAACTCCGAGAGGCCTATTTGGAGCACGAAAGCAAATCTAGTAACGATCAAAGAGTAGAAGGCATGACTCCTCTTTTGGTAGACTTCCCTGGAACAGAGCAGCGTGAAAGAAAAATTTGGGTTTCAAGTGCTTCTTAATTTTGAAGGAGGTCTAGCTGTGAAGGATTGGCATCGCTCTTTGCTACTCTCAAGATCAGTGGAGAAGTTCTCGGCGTGTAAGCTTCCATAGAGAGCAGACTCGAGCAGGCCATTACTCAGATTAGCTTTTTATTCGCCTGAACAAGACTGGTAATGATTAAGTAAACCCAGGCCCTCTGTAGTTCAAGGACTTGTTTGGGCTGGTTTATCTTCGCACGCCTTAAGCAGCTGGGTTATGTTGCCTCCCCTAATGACACATTTCTGTGTATTTCTCTTCGATTTACTTTACATCCATACTTATTAGTTTTAAGTTAATACTTGCCATGAAGTAATTTCAACGCTGTGCAACACGGCAAAGGTGACGCGATTACTTTCCAAAATGGGGACAGAAAAACAAGAGATATGAGTGCAAGGCCTGATTTATATTGTGACGGCCGATTTTCAGAGAGTTCTAATCAAAAATACTTAGAGAA